GCAGGAGAGGACTCTTTAAAGTAGAGACACTACATACTGATACACCCCTGAACATCAGCTGGAGAGGACTCTTTAAAGTAGAGACACTACATACTGATATACACCTGAAAAGGATCACAATAGGACTCCTTTAACACTTTTCCATATTGACTTTGTATCCTGATAATTCCTGAGCTCTGGTACCGTTTGCTTTCTGGACCGAGGTACCGTTAGAAATTCCTCTGACACTTGACGTTCCTCCAGAAACATTTGCTGCAGGTCACAGACGGATGATTTATCATCCTGTGGTATTCGTTTTCAGCCTCTCTGATATTTATTGGATGGCAGCGTAACGATGTTCTTCTGGCCTCTTCTCCTCACATCCATCTTTAAAATGTCTTTCCATTTCTCCTGTCAGTGCTTCTCTCTTTTCTTTCTCTACTGCAATATCATAAGAAGATTTCTCTATTAAAACGGCATTAAACAGTATTTGTATTCTTATATAACAGCGGTTCAGATTACTCCATGTTATGCTAAGTGATCAATATCTACAGACTTTACAGAGATGACATCGTCTTGTTCAAGGGGCTGAATTTTACATTATTAGATCATAAATACTGGTGAATTAATGTAGTCAGTTGAGCTGGTTTCGATAACATTATGAAGTGAGTTTTAAATGTTTAGTCAAGTAGTTTCTAACCAAGGCTTATACATAAAATATGAGGGGACGAGAGATGGTTTACAGAAGAGAAGACAAAAGAAAGTCTGCTTTTACATTACATTACATTGCATTTAGCTGACGCTTTTATCCAAAGCGACTTACAATAAGTGCGTTCGACCAACAAAATACAAACTTGAAGAAAACAGAATCATATAAGTACATCAGGCTTCATAGAGCCAAACATTTCAAGTGCTACTCAACTGGCTTTAGATAAGCCAGTCCTTTATTAGTATAAAAGTGCTTCGTTAATAGTTCTATCGCTCGAAGTGGAGTCGAAAGAGATGAGTTTTCAGTTTGCGCCGGAAGATGTGCAAGCTATCTGCCGTCCTGATGTCAATGGGGAGCTCATTCCACCATCTTGGAGCCAGGACAGCAAACCCACGTGTTTTCGCCGATGGGAACTTGGGTCCCCCTCGCAGCGAGGGTGCAGCGAGTCGTTTGGCTGATGCAGAGCGTAGTGCACGCGCTGGGGTGTACGGTTTAACCATGTCCTAGATGTACGAAGGGCCAGATCCATTCGCAGCATGGTAAGCAAGTACCAGTGTCTTGAAGTGGATTCTAGCAGTTACCGGAAGCCAGTGAAGGGAGCGGAGGAGCGGCGTGGTGTGGGAGAATTTAGGAAGGTTGAAGACCAGACGAGCCGCTGCATTCTGGATGAGCTGCAGAGGTCGGATGGCACATACAGGTAGACCAGCCAGGAGGGAGTTGCAGTAGTCTAGGCGTGAGATGACGAGAGCCTGGACCAGAACCTGAGTCGCTTTCTGAGTCAGCTGGGGACGTATCTTCCTGATGTTGTAAAGCGTGTATCTGCAGCAACGGGTTGTAGCAGCGATGTTTGCAGTGAAGGACAGGTTGTTATCTAGGGTCACACCCAGATTCCTTGCAGTCTGAGTCGGGGAAACAACAGAGGTGCCGATGTTGATTGTTAGGTCAAGAGTGGGACAATCTTTTCCCGGGAGGAAGAGCAGCTCAGTCTTGTCAAGGTTGAGCTTGAGGTGATGAGCAGACATCCACTGAGAGATGTCAGCTAGACAAGCAGAGATGCGTGCGACGACCTGGGTCTCTGAGCGGGGAAAGGACAGAATTAATTGGGTGTCGTCAGCGTAGCAGTGGTAAGAAAAACCATGCGGGCTAATGACTGATCCGAGCGAGTTTGTGTACAGGGAGAAGAGGAGGGGACCAAGAACAGAGCCCTGAGGGACCCCTGTAGTTAATTGACAAGGGTCGGACTCAGACCCTCTCCAAGTCACCCTGTAGGTACGGTCTTTCAGGTATGAGGTGAGGAGGGAAAGTGCAGAGCCTGAAACTCCAAGTTTTTGGAGAGTGCGAAGGAGGATCTGATGATTCACCGTGTCGAATGCAGCAGACAGGTCCAACAGGATGATGACAGAGGAGAGGGATGCAGTTTTGGCAGTGTGCAGTTCCTCCGTGACAGCAATGAGAGCAGTTTCTGTGGAGTGACCTGCCTTGAAACCAGACTGGTGCGGATCCAGAAGGTTGTTCTGATGGAGATAACAGGAGAGTTGTTTAAAGACAGCGCGTTCAAGTGTTTTAGACAGGAACGGGAGGAGAGAGACAGGCCTGTAGTTTCTAACATCAGACGGGTTGAGAGTGGGTTTCTTTAGGAGAGGGTTTACTCTTGCCTCCTTGAGACTGTTTGGAAAGTGACCAGAAGTTAGAGAAGTGTTGATGAAATGGGTGAGAAATGGTAGAATATCAGGAGCGATAGTCTGAAGGAGGTTTGAAGGGATAGGGTCCAGAGGACAGGTGGTAGGGCGGGCAGAGGTAATGAGGGTAAGAACCTCACTTGGAGAGAGAGGGGAAAAGGAGGTTAGTGTGTTGGTGGAAGGAAGGTCTGGTGACCCAGCGGTGAGTAAAGGTGAGTCAGAAAAAGAAGAGCGAATATCATCAACCTTTTTTTCAAAGTGGGTAACAAAGTCGCTTGACAGAAGTGAGGAGGGGGGAGATATGCTTCACACGTTTCTCATATTTCAGACTTTTCCCTTTAGGAGATATCAGATTATTTGATCACTAAACTACTAAACTATCAAGTCAAAAAGTCCCAACTAACTCCAGCTTTCATTAAATGTAAAAATGAAGTACAATATTTACCTCAAATGTCCAAATTAAAATCAGAAATCCTTTATTTAGTCCCACAGAGGGGAAATGCATATTGTTACAGCAAAGGGAGTGGATGTAGAAAGGTCATCACAATGCAAGTATGACACAAGTGTAGCTTAAATATTAAAAGAAGAGGCGAGCACAAGTTAATAAGATCTGACATCCATGGTAAAAAACATAGAATGAAACTGAGAAAAAGTGGCACAATAAAGAATATGAGAAGATATAATAGGTGAGTACATGATGCAGTAAAGAACAAGCAGAGGTGGGAAGTAGTGGAGTACAAATACTTTGTTACTGTACTTAAGTACATGTTTCTGGTATCAGTACTTTACTCCACTACTTACTTTTCTGACAACTTTTTACTTTGACTTCTTACATGTTGAACACAAATACCTGAACTTTCTACTTCTTACATGTTGAACACAAATACCTGTACTTTCTACTTCTCACATGTTGAACACAAATACCTGTACTTTCTACTTCTTACATGTTGAACACTAATACCTGTACTTTCTACTTCTTACATGTTGAACTCAAATACCTGTACTTTCTACTTCTTACACGTTGAACCCAAATACCTGTACTTTCTACTTCTTACATGTTGAACTCAAATACCTGTACTTTCTACTTCTCACATGTTGAACTCAAATACCTGTACTTTCTACTTCTTACATGTTGAACTCAAATACCTGTACTTTCTACTTCTTACATGTTGAACCCAAATACCTGTACTTTCTACTTCTCACATGTTGAACACAAATACCTGTACTTTCTACTTCTTACATGTTGAACACAAATACCTGTACTTTCTACTTCTCACATGTTGAACTCAAATACCTGTACTTTCTACTTCTCACATGTTGAACTCAAATACCTGTACTTTCTACTTCTTACATGTTGAACTCAAATACCTGTACTTCTACTTCTTACATGTTGAAACACAAATACCTGTACTTTCTACTTCTTACATGTTGAACTCAAATACCTGTACTTTCTACTTCTCTCATTTTCCAAACAGCTGGTTCCTTTAGTCTGAATGTGTGTTTGATGCGTGATCATTATTATTTAGAGTCATTGCGTGCCTATTGATTTGAACACGATCCGTGTATCCATCATTTCCTGGTCTTCTCTAAAGAAGAGGGACCAATGGAAACGTTGTCATGTTGCCGTTGTTCAGCATGGAAACATTCATTAGCTAACAATGACATTATTGTTCTATTAATATAAAGGGAGGTCAGGTACTCTTTAAAACAGCTGCTAGTTATGGGTACTTTTTACTGAAGTACATTTCAAAGCCTCTTTACTTTTACTTGAGTAAAGAAGTTTAATCAGTACTTCTGCTTCTACCAGAGTATTTTAAAACACGAGTATCTGTACTTCTACTTGAGGTGTGTACTTTTGCCATCTCTGAGAACAAGTTAAAGTAGCATGCAATGGAGAAAATCAAGTAGAAATATCTCGATAATGTCCTAAACTTCAGTATCTCTTCAGGGCGGGCTGTCGGTGGACTCGATCTCCGACCTGGTGGAGAGTCAGTCTCGCCTGCTGGAGGCGCTGCAGCTGTCCCACCCCGCAGAGCTGGAGCTGAAGAAGGAGGGCTCCTCTAAAGGGCGAACCAGAACCAGAACCCAGAACAAGCTCAGCCTGAACCCCGTCTACAGGCAGGTTCCCCGGGTGCTGGAGCGCTGCTGCAGACACATCCAGAACCACGGTGAGGCCCGGGATCTGACATCTGGAGACCATAAAGTGGCTTTTTTTGGACAAATATTTGTATTGGCATTTAGTTTCTTCCCTGGTAAAGACATCACACGCATGTATACCCCCCCCCCCCCCCCCAAAGGAATAAATACAATAACACGTCACAATAAAGAAAACATACACACATATAAGTAGTAACAGGATGTGGCAGTCAGAGTCCCTAAAGTGAGGTTCTTTGGACAAATATTTGTATGCCATTTTAGATTTACTGCTTAATAAATAACACAAATGCTAACCCCCCCCCCCAAAGGAAAAAGTGTACATACATAAATATACAAATATTAGGATTAAATACAAATACAAAAACTGAATTTGTCCCCAAAGACTGAAGTAAATATTAAATATTGAGTTAAATTGGATTATTTTATACAGTTAATATCTCCATACATTTTGCACAATTAAAAAAAAGACTAATTGT